CTTGACGATCTGGAGATAGCCATGCAAACTCTCGTGCCACATACCTTGATCTCCTAAGCCAAACTCTTTGACCATTCAAAGTCTTGTCACGCCAAGTTCTTACCATCCTAGTGGTCAACATTTTGGGCTTCTCACCCTTGAAGTCAAACTCATTGGCAGGGATCAAAACTCCCATTTTCCTGAGACGTTTGATTTCCAACTGGTCTGCAATGAGGTCCAACCGCAACAACTCATGGTCAGGAAGAGAAGGTTCCAAAGTAGAAAAAGGAAGACACAACTGTTCCAGAAGTTCTACATCAGTATGACTAGAGTCATCAGTTTCATCTAAGTCAAAGTCATAGGACTCAAGCGCATCAAGGTCCTCACTGTCGAACTGCGTTTCATTTGGCTGGTCCTCGTGTTCAAAGACAGCAAGTATACGTTGGTGTTTTGAAGGTCTTTCTGACTCATCTCCACCATCTCTAGGGTGGATAACAGCTGACGTCTCTGCTCCCAAAGGCGCATCTCCCAGAGATGAACCTGAAGCAGGATCACTTTGTTGAACATCATGTGGGGTTTGTGGAACAGCTGCTCCAAGCGCTGTTGAAACCCCCGCCTCAGCTGTCACTTCCATAGTTTCATCACCAACGGTATTACCTGCAACAACAGCACTTTGTGGTGGCGCAACCAAACGTGGTACATGTGGTCTTTCATCTGGTGTTGGAGGCAAGTTCATAACTGCCTCAGCATCAAAGTCTCTCACTGGTGCAGGAGTCAAAGGAGACGCAGTAGGAGGAGCTATACGTTTTGCAAGGACAAGTTGAGAGCCTAAAGAGGCATAACTAAACTGCCATGGACACGCCTCAACACCTCCAATCATCTCTCCATTCCATGCCTTTGAGGCAGGCAAGCGTCTACCGCTTCTTGTGACAAACAACTGCTGAGCACCAGGTATGGCAATGATGTGAACGTCATTGCTCAAAGTCTTTCCCAACCACACGCCTTTGGTCCACTGAGGTGCACCCTTGTGTGTCTGTTTCAGGAAACCCAAAACGGTTTCTCCAAACATAGCCAAACGTCCTGTGTATGCTCGGTCAGCACACAACTCATAAGCAGTATGACCTTGACGAACCACATACCGATTGTGCAGAAAACACGCATGAAGTAGGGCCCATGCATAGAGTGGATGCTGGCATCCAATCACATCAGTTATGCCAACACCTTGTTCGACCTGCTGGATGAGTAAATTGGCCTGTTGTCTTACCAGTTTTACTGTAACTTCTGCAGCACCATTTGAAGCATGACTTGAGGGTCCAACCGTCTCAGTCAAAACTCTGATCCCCAAACATCTACATGTCTTCTTCACGGCCTCAAGTAGTGAAAGTGTTGAAGGTTCTTGATCGCATTTGAGTGCTATTGTATCATTGCCACACCAAACAATGAAACGACAAAATTCAGTGCATAAATAGTTGAGGTATCGGCCTCCCTTCTGTGGCGTTGGTACCACATGCATAGCCCCTGAACTCCTGTCATGAATAAATAAAGCGCACAACTTGTCATCATCATCCCTTCTACTTGCATAACCGAAATCAAAAGAAATACAGCTATGTGCAGTTTCAGTGTGATGTTGTTCAGAATGACCATCTTGTTGTGATCGATTTGCAACACAAAGTTCACACCACTTGGCAAAGGGATAGTGCGTGAGATAGTGCTCTGCCTTTTCAGCGTCACTTGGTTCTGCAGGGACTGGTTGTCCATGGACAGGTCTGGAAACATCACCTCGCAAATCACGGTGTGCAGAATGAGCAGCAATAAGCTCTTGACTTTCTAAATGTTTCCACAAACGCTCCGAACATACTGCCTTTCCACCAGTTTTGGAGAGTCCAAGGCTTTCACAAGCACCTCTCAAAGTACGCAGGGGAGTATTGCTATCTAGCTTGACACCATCAACCATCACAGACTTGTAGTCCACATCTGGTCTTTCTGCAACTGGTAACTCAGCTTCTTCTGCAGCCGCTGGCAACTCATCTGGTGGCTCCACGTTGGGCCTGACAGGGGCAGCAGCAGCAGGCGCTGATGCAGAGGAAGAAGAATGGGATTGTGAGGATGATCTCAATGGAAAGTTTGCTGGCATCACCACATCATCATGAACACTGAAACCCAAAGCCTCTGGTGGTACCATGGCATCATGCGCAAGTGTGATCACCTCCACAACCGGTTTTGCAGTTTGAAAAGGAATAACACGTGAAGAAAGGTCTGAAATGCTCTGAGAAAATTCCTCCAGTTCCCAGGTGCCATCTGCAAAACGCACCAACGTTGTTCTAAGCCACATCAATGACTCACTGGGGCAATACGTCGTGTCAACATGTTGAGGTGACACGCTTCTCAAACCATAAACAGAATCACTCAGCCTTATCCATCCACGTTGTAAACCAGCAAGGCTTTCGCCCAAAACAACTGCCCTGACATGTTCAACTGGACTGCTATCCATGTTGCTCAACATTCTGATTACACCATGTGCACACAAAGAATTACGTTTGAAGTGGACTGGAATGCTCTTGCCATTTCTCACCAGAAACATTGAATCACCAGAGTTTTGAAGACACCATCCATCTCTGAGAAGACGACCCATTGAAATAAGTGGTGAAGTAACTGGCGCTATGATAAACCGCTCTTTGAAAACGACTGAACCAAATTGCACTTCAGCTATTCGAGCTTCCCTCACTGATATTGGCTTGCCCTGAGCATCAATGAAAGAAGAAGATTTATCAAAGGTTGGATCTTTGTGACCTATTGCAGCATATTCTAAGGGCAGAACTGAACCATCAGCTCCCGAGTCAATCACCACCTCCACGCTGCTGTCAGTCAGGTTGCCGACAGCTCGAATGCAGTCGAAAGAAGAATGGCTGGCAGGTGAAAGGTCAATGCAATAACTGTCACAAAACGTCCAAATACCATCATCATCAGTGCATGACATGTCAAAGTGAGTACAAGCGCACATGTATGCTTCCTCGACATGGTTCAAGTCATCTACGGGTGAAATTTCAGCACATGAAACAACGTTGCAATGGCCAGAGCTGTCATACATTGTAAGGTCACGGAAGTCAAGCTCGTCACTGCTGGGAAGTTCTTCAATGATGGGGCCAACATATGAAGAAAGCAAACGCACAGAGCCAGTAGCTGAGGTCATGGTTGTTGAGGCAGCGCTTGAAGAAGCACCACTGCTAGAGCTTCCAGCGTTTTGCGTCTCTTCAACTTGATTCACATTCTTTGTATTGGTGGGCTTCCCATGCAACTTCCAACAGTCTCTTTTGAAATGCCCATATTTACCACAATGTAAACACTGATCACTTGAGGTAGCCGCACGTGGCTTTGAAACATCTTGTTTGCTCCTTCCCTTACCTTTGTCAAACTTACCCTTAGTCTTTCCTTTGGAAAACGAAGAGTCTTTACTTTTGTGCTTTCCCTTGCCTTTGCCCTTCTTGCCTTTCTCAAACCGGTCAATTTCCATTGGAGCAGGTCCAGTGTAGGCAGGAGAAGCCGTAGAGCTGGATGGCAAAATGCCAAGTTCACTATGAATTCGACCAGCGCTCCATGTAGTCGTCACTGACTCGTAGCTGAGGACAAGTTCCCTGACCTGAGCATATGTTGAGTGCTCTGTCATCTGCAGCTGAATGTGGGTCTGTAATGCCTTTGGCAACGACTTGACCAAGATGCTCAACATCAGGTCATCAGCCACATCAGTTCCAGAAGATCTCATATATTCAGTTCTCAAGCGTTCAAGGCCTAAGATCTGGTCCATCAGGGTTTTGTCCTTCAGGCTGAAGGCTGGAATATTCATCAACGCAGCAAGCAAAGAAATCGACCTGCTTTTGGTCTTTGGTGAAAAGAGTTGCACCAACTTTCTCCAAACCTCGAAACCATTTCTCTCAGAAGTTTGGCGCAGTAGCCGCAACGGCTTGCCACGAAGTATCCCCGTAAGGATGTTGAAAAGCTGCTTGCATCTTTCTTGAACGTCATTGGGCTCGGATCTAGGAAACTCTATTGGAGTTGAGGCATAGTTGGTCTCGACTCTATGAAGGTCACTTTCAAAACCACTATCACCATAGAACAACCAAGCTTTGAAGTTCACTGTGAAGTCTTGCCACTTGCTAAGATCTTCTTCGTGGTTTTCAGAACCAAACGGGTCAGGTTGTCTAATGACTTTTGAGGCTTCACTAAACCCCTTTCCACTCAAACCAGTTCCACGACTAGCCTGAACATCTCTCAAGGCTGCAGCCGCATCAGCAGCAGCACGAGCAGCGTCTGTAGCTGCTTGTATCAACTGGGCCACGTCCAACGTGCCACCATCACCAGCCATGCTCCAAGCAAGGCTATGCAACCAGAACCCAAATGGCTCAACTAAACGGCAACGGGAGTTTCCTAGTCCAAGGTAGCTTCAGGTGCCCTCACCAGAATAAAGGATCTGGATCACAGGGCTCCGCTACCATGAACATTTTCCTTGATGCAAAGACGCCTGAGGATTATATCCATGTGACATCGTGTTGATTCACATCCAAGCAGCAAAGGTTGTATGTCGTTTGACATGAAACAACTGCTATGCAAACATGTATGCAACTGAAAGGGAAGGTGCAGAAATGAGTTAATTCTGTTCACAAACACTGTGTCCCTTAGCCACTGCAAATACTCACCAGCAAGCAGGCAAGTAGCTCTTTAAGCAAGGAGCTCAACTAAACTGCTCTAGCATTCAAGAGCATGCAACACAAGCTAGGAAAGCACCAACATGAATGCAAGCATGCACTGCAATCTCTTCTGCCTGTACAGCGGTTCAATCTGAAGTGACCCCTCAACAGCAGGCGACTCACTAGCTGCAGAGGAGGATTTCAATCCTTCTGCGTCACGAAGTTTCAGCTTGCAAGCTGAACCTCTAAAATTTCTCGAAATGGATCGAAATGGATGGAAATGGTGTCTCACAAGTTCCTGTGTCATTGCCCAGCAACTAGCAACTGGCACACAGCCACTCACGGATCCTCCAAAGCTGAACCGAGCCCACCAAAGCTGTGACCCGTCAATGAATCATCAGTGATGCTAGCAACTGACAGCTCAAGTTCTGGTTCAAAATCTGAGGATATGTGTATCGATCTCATGATATGTTTGTCAAAATAAAGCTTCTGGTCCTGAACCATTTTATTTGCCGGAATCCCTCGGGCCTTGGTACTGCCTGGCTTTGTCAGGTATTTCTGCTGGTCCTGCAGGTAGGAGAAGTAGACTATGGAAGCAGACATCCACAACCCTCACAGGCTGGGTAAGTAGTTGATAAGTAATTGAGCAAGCACATGAGCCCAAATATCACAGAAGAGTCACAGTTTGGACGAACAAACTGTCAGACTGTCAGCAGCACTTGTGGGCAAGAAGCTTCTCAGCCGTTGAGTCCATGTGTCCCAGGTGCATCCACACCCTCAAGCCTCAGGAACTGGATGAGGGTGGTAGTACCATTTGATATGCGTGTTCTTCCAGTCCTCGATCCAAATCCTTAGTTCGAGAAGAAAAACCGTCTGAGCAAAACTCATGTACTCCATCCACCATCCCTCGTGCGCGAGGAGGGTTGGCGAGGGATGCAACAATGTGTGTCCATCCCACATTTCCTTCATCTATTGCTGATCTCTGACGCCTGAAATTTGCAGTGAGAAACTACTCCGAATTTGCTTCAGGAATCATCACCGGTGCTGGAGAGTGGCCCTGTGTTTCTGCTGTCTTTGCTTGGATTGAAACTGGAAACACCAAAAGGCTTGGCTGAAAGAGCATGCCAGCAGGGGAAGAGCAGGCGGAGCCGAACAGCTGGCTATACAAATGATTTTTATCTGATCAGGGAAAACTAACCCGACATCCAATATCCGCCGACCCCGGCCGACGCAAGGGGGAGCGCGTAAGGGAAGAAGAGTATCTGGCACAAAGAGCAACAGCAGTTTTCCCATCCGGGAGGTCCCTTATGGTGTTTTGCTGCCGGGAGCTACCTTTTTCGAGCAGCTGCAGGCGACAGAATCTCTCGCAAAAGGCTGTTTTTCTAGGATGTCAAAAGTGACGTTAGGGACTTTGTTCGCGTGGTTTTGGAACGACACGTTAGGGAGTTTTTTGGCGTGGTTCTAGACCTTGCTCGTCCATCAGAGCCATGGTGTTTTGCTGCCGGGAGCTGCTTCTTTCGAAGCTGTTTGACCGGCATCAGCAGCAGCAGCCGCCGCCAGTAGTCCTGCGAGCAGCCGCAGGCGACAGAATCTCTCGACAATCTCTCTCTCGACAATCTCTCTCGACAATCGACAAATGCTTTTTTTCTAGGATTTCAGACGACACGTTAGCGAGTTTTTTCGCGTGGTTTTGGACCTTGCTGGTCCTTCAGAGCCATGGTGTTTTGCTGCCGGGAGCTGCTTTTTTCGAAGCTGTTTTACCGGCATCAGCAGCAGCAGCCGCCGCCACCAGTTCTGCGAGCAGCCGCAGGCAACAGAATCTCTCGACAAATGCTGTTTTTCTAGATTTCCAGACGACACGTTAGGGAGTTTTTTCGCGTGGTTTTGGACCTTGCTCGTCCTTCCGAGCCATGGTGTTTTGCTGCCGGGAGCTGCTTTTTTCGAAGCTGTTTTACCGGCATCAGCAGCAGCAGCCGCCGCCACCAGTTCTGCGAGCAGCCGCAAGCAACAGAATCTTTCGACCTTGCTCGTCCTTCAGAGCCATGGTGTTTTGCTGCCGGGGGCTGCTTTTTTCGAAGCTGTTTTACCGGCATCAGCAGCAGCAGCCGCAGGCAACAGAATCTCTCGACAAATGCTGTTTTTCTAGATTTTTCTAGATTTCCAGACGACACGTTAGGGAGTTTTTTCGCGTGGTTTTGGACCTTGCTCGTCCTTCCGAGCCATGGTGTTTTGCTGCCGGGAGCTGCTTTTTTCGAAGCTGTTTTACCGGCATCAGCAGCAGCAGCCGCCGCCACCAGTTCTGCGAGCAGCCGCAGGTAACAGAATCTTTCGACCTTGCTCGTCCTTCAGAGCCATGGTGTTTTGCTGCCGGGGGCTGCTTTTTTCGAAGCTGTTTTACCGGCATCAGCAGCAGCAACCGTCGCCACCAGTCCTGCGAGCAGCTGCAAGCGACAGAATCTTCTTCAAAGCCATGGTGTTTTACTGCCGGGAGATGCTTTGTTCGAAGCTGTTTTCCCGCGAGCAGCTGCAGGCAACCGAATCTCTCGACAAATGCTTTTTTTCTAGGATTTCAGACGACATGTTAGGGAGTTTTTTCGCGTGCTTCTGGACCTTGCTCGTCCTTCAGAGCCATGGTGTTTTGCTGCCGGGAGCTGCTTTTTTCGAAGCTGTTTTACCGGCATCAGCAGCAGCAGCCGCCGCCACCAGTTCTGCGAGCAGCCGCAGGCAACAGAATCTCTCGACAATCTCTCGACAATGTGCTGTTTTTCTAGGATTTCAGACGACACGTTAGGGAGTTTTTTGGCGTGGTTCTGGACCTTGCTCGTCCTTCAGAGCCATGGTGTTTTGCTGCCGGGAGCTGCTTTTTTCGAAGCTGGTTTACTGGCATCAGCAGCAGCAGCCGCCGCCACCAGTCGTGCGAGCAGCCGTAGGCGACAGAATCTCTCGACAATCGACAAATGCTGTTTTTCTATGCTGTTTCTATGCTGTTTTTTTGCTGTTTTTCTAGCACATTTTTTCTAGCATTTCAGACGACACGTTTGGGAGGTTTTTTGGCGTGGTTCTGGAACTTGCTCGTCCTTCGGAGCCATGGTGTTTTGCTGCCGGGAGCTGCTTTTTTCGAAGCTATTGTACCGGCATCAGCAGCAGCAGCCGCCACCTGCGAGCAGCTGCAGGCGACAGACTCTCTCGAAAAAAGCTGTTTTTCCAGGATTTCAGACGACACGTTAGGCAGTTTTTTAGCGTGGTTCTAAAACTTGCTCGTCCTTTAGAGCCATGGTTTTTTGCTGCCGGGAGCTGCCGGCAGGTGCTTTTTTCGAAGCTATTTTCCTGCGAGTAGCTGCAGGCAACAGAATCTCTCGACAAATGCTGTTTTTCTATAGAATTTCAGACGACCGGTTAGGGAGTTTTTTGGCGTGGTTCTGGAACTTGCTCGTCTTTCAGAGCCATAGTGTTTTGTTGCCGGGAACTGCTTTTTTCGAAGCTGGTTGACCGGCATCCGCAGCAGCAGCAGCCGCCACCAGTCCTGCGAGCAGCTGCAGGCGACAGAATCTCTCGAACAAGGCTGTTTGTCTAGAATTTTTGGCGTGGTTTTGGAACTAGCCCGTCATTCAGAGCCATAGTGTTTTGTTGCCGAGAGGTACTTTTTTCGAAGCTGTTTTCTTCCGAGCCGCCGGAGGCCACAAATTCAAACTTATTTGACTGCCAGCAGAAGGACGAGTAACACCAGTAAATTAGAAGCTCTGCGGCAGCATCCGCGGCAGCAGCGGCAGGAGAAAGTTATGCTGGGATTTGAAGCCGACAAGACAGCTGGAACTGGTCGTTTGTCGTTACTTTGCATGCCATTGCGTTCGGGAGCACACGCGGCCATTAGATTGTTTGTGTTTGCATTGGATTCGCCCAAATTCTTTGGTGCTCTGGACGCAGGTTCCACAAGTAGGGCATGTGTGCGAAAAGTGCGTTGTCGGCAGCGTCGGCCGAAGAATGCCATCCTGCACGCGAAATTGTCTCCCACACACGCGTCGGTGGTTGACATGTCCGGAAGCAATTGACGTAGTAACAGATTTTTGGCAAAAAGGGCATGAGTACACATAAATCTTTTCTGCTGGTGGCTTTTGCTCCATTTCTTTGGGGCTTGCAACCTCATTTGTACTTTCTTTTTCGTTGGTCTTGGTCTGGCCATGACCTGTGCGTTTTTGTCTGTGTTCTGCGATCGCTTCCCATGTCTCGCGTAGCACTTGGGTCCGACGCAATTTTTTGCGAAGCGGTTCCAGTCGGCTTATGCTCGAGGCAGCCGCCCGCTTGCGAAGAACGGCTTGTGCAAGGACGGTGTGGCATGCGTTGCATATTTGTGTCCCGTCTTTGCCAGAAGGCCGCTTTCCAATAAAACCCGAAAATTGCAGCTGCGGTTTGCGTTGCTGACACACTGCGCACTTCCAAGAACCACGCGTTTTCGTTTGGCACTGCAAACACACTCTCCGTTTGGAGCCACCCACGCTGAGGCGCCGAAGTGTTCTTTCGTTTGTTTTCGGCGGCAAACAAAACATGCTTTCTTGGCATCGCACGACAGACAGACGCGATACATGCTCCATCGTGGATTTTGATGCTTGCTCGCAAAATGACACGCAGCATACCACAGGCCACACTGCGTGCATCGATAAGGTGTACCTGCCTCACGCTTCTGCGCAGTGCATTCTTTGCAGACCCGATAAGTGTCCTGTTTCCACTGCGCCTTGGTGAATGCGTCTTTGCGCTTCATTTCCCCACACTCGTGGCACGGCCTTTCATCCAAGTACTTCTTGCGCAACGCATCCCAGTCCACCGGCTCCTGCTTCCACACGTCGAGAAGAAGTTGCCGTCCGAGCGGCAGGCCTTCCTGAAAAGGAGCCAGGGGGAACGGACGGTAGATCAAGATCTTTTGCCGTGTGCGGCAGCGCGTCATCCCAATGTAAGCCGCTATTGGGTCTGCACCGATCATGTCCACAATCACGCCCGGTTCTATTGTGCTCCCCTGTGCGCCGTAGAACGTGTCAGCGAAGTCGGGTGCGAGGGGAAATTGATAACGCGTCACTTTCAATTGTGGGTTGGCGCGGCCCGCGGCCAAAAACCACAGTCCACTTTGCACGCTGACTGGGAAGACGTTCTCTTGATCGATGCCTGGGATAGTCCACCGTGTGCGCGTTTCAAAACGCACAAAGATATACTCGGGAAGTTTGTTCCAAATTACTGTTCCGTCTGCCGATGCTGTTTCTGTTTCGACGCGAGACCACCCGCAGACTGTTCCATGGCATCCTTTCAAAATCTTGAACTCTTTTCGGTAGAGATGTTCTCGCGCTTGCACTGGCATACCAATGCACAGCGGAAGGACGCCGTACCGGTTGCCGCAGTCGGCGTCGCTGCGCTGCAGCCACGTGAGCTTGTCGTGGGCGATATCGGGCTTCTCGTGTAAAGCTCGTGATGAAACTTTGTCCGTAGCCACTGCATAGTAGACGACCTGCCCACGCTGTCGTGCCCATTGTTCCGCGCGAAGTTTATTTACGTGGCACTTCACCCCGTTCGTATGGAAAATTCCTCGGGCCAAGCTGAAACCCTCGGCAAACCGAGGATCGTCTGGATCCACCGCAACCAAACGCTTACTGTCTCGCTCGGAGTGGCAGGTTGCACATTCGTATTTGAGAATTGCTGCCGGCGTGGAACCGTTCTTGTACAAGCGATGGCATATATTTTCTCCGCAGGTAGGCTGTTGAGTTGTTGCGCACCAGCTTCCCGGAACTCTTGTGGGGCGGCCATGTAGGAATGCATGGTTGTCTTCGGATAAGCGTCCGACGCGAAGTTCGGCTTGCAGCTCCTGCAGCCAGACATCTTGCGTTCGTTCGCACCGTGTTAGTTCTGTAACCCCCTGTAGGCCACCTTGCACTCTGGAAAGCCATACAATTTGCTGGCCTTGCAAGCTTAGTGGCAACTTCTTAGATGGAACGCCTGTCACAAGGTGCCATGGAATTTGACCGAGAAACGTTCCACGTGGTGGAGGTAGCTGCCACAGGTCGCCCGAGAGAATGACGTTGAGGCCCCCGAAAGGTGCAACGGAGGTAGGGGTATGTTTGTGTTTGCTATATTTTGTGGCAGATATATCTAAGTCGCAAACAAGACATTGCCAAACGAGACCCACTTGGAGGCAAACAGACAATCTCTATGATCGAGCACTGCAAGCACAAAGATCTTGATGCATCTGATATTATACTATACAGTACACATATACCACTGAAGCTACCACTTTACCATCTTTGGATTACCGGTCGCCAAAGTTTCTAGTCTGAGCTTCCGAGCGGTGGACCCACTGCCAGCGTCAATAAAAGCACTTTCGGACCAAAAATTGCACAGCAAGTACGGCCAAAACAGCCGATAAATTCCTCTCCGGATATTTGCTCTATTTTGTTCCAATCGATCGATGTACACTGGATCAAATGAGCAAGGTGCGATTCTTATCGTTGCCATTGGATGACACTCGCAACACGTCCAAATCAGACCAGGATGAAACTTAGAGAGTCTTAAACTTCCGGGGTCGGCGGCAGGGGCGGCAGCCCTTAAATATAATATCCAAAACTCGGCGGCATCAGATCAAAGTTCAAGCTCTTTGTCTTATGGAACACAGTTTGCTGGAAACACTGAACGTGCTTGGCAATAGGCATGTACATGCGAGCCTTCACACGTCTTGCTACTGACTAAACAGAATATTTGAATATATCGGAATCTCATACCTGTCGATTTCACAGCCTAGCATCGCTCCTTCACTCGGTTTGCCTTTGTCAGGATGGAGCCTGCAGAGAAAAGGGCGCGATGAGAATTGAAAAAAAGACAACCTTTTGGCAATGCCGGATATGTGGCACTTGTGTGGCGGAAGCCTTGGATATCAAATACGAACGGCCAGAATACGGCGAGACGGTCAACAACCAAACCAATGTCCCTCTGGCAACTCCAGCCTCAGCAAACTTTTCCTCAGCAAACTTTTCCTGGCATCCACAGGAAGGTCCCGCCACCTTGCTTCACATAGTTCTTCCTCCACTTTCGAGCAGATTTTTGCAATATCCTCATCCTCTGGTTTGGGAGGGTGTTGGAAGCCGCAAAAGGCTGATTTTGTCTCAGCATGAGACTGTTTCGGGGCCTTCAAATCATCTGATTTGCCGCAAGCTGGTCTTGTCCTGGAAGGAGGCTGTTCCACATCCATGCCATCGGGCATTGAATCATCGCAGGCTGGTCTTGTCTTGGAAGGAGGTTGTTCCACATCCATGCCCGTGACCTTCGAAGCATCTGGTTTGCCACTGGCCGGTCTTGTCTTGGAAGGGGGCTGTTCCACATCCATGCCCGTGACCTTCGAAGCATCTGGTTTGCCACTGGCCGGTCTTGTCTTGGAAGGAGGCTGTTCCACATCCATGCCCGTGACCTTCGAAGCATCTGGTTTGCCACTGGCCGGTCTTGTCTTGGAAGGAGGCTGTTCCACATCCATGCCCGTGACCTTCGAAGCATCTGGTTTGCCACTGGCCGGTCTTGTCTTGGAAGGAGGCTGTTCCACATCCATGCCCGTGACCTTCGAAGCATCTGGTTTGCCATTGGCCGGTCTTGTCTTGGAAGGGGGCTGTTCTACATCCATGCCCGTGACCTTCGAAGCATCTGGTTTGCCACTGGCCGGTCTTGTCTTGGAAGGAGGCTGTTCCACATCCATGCCCGTGACCTTCGAAGCATCTGGTTTGCCACTGGCTAGTCTTGTCTTGGAAGGAGGCTGTTCCACATCCATGCCCGTGACCTTCAAAGCATCTGGTTTCCCACTGGCTGGTCTTGTCTTGGAAGGAGGCTGTTCCACATCCATGCCCGTGACCTTCGAAGCATCTGATTTCGAGGCAACCTCGTTCCATTCGTCCAAGCCTTTGTTCTGCTCAAATTTGGGCGGAACTTTAGGTGACTGCAAGTCTACCCTTGCAGCATGTGAAGGCAGTTCTGTTGGTGCTGTGCCGTCATCAGGGATCTTGAGTTCAAGGTCGTTGATTTGACGTTGCAGTCGCACCAAAGACTTCGAGTGAGAGTCAACGTTGCATTTTTGGGAATCGATGACTTTCTCCAGATTCTCAAGCCTCTTGTCAGAGTCGTCCTTTGTCTTCTGCATCCTTCGCTGCAAGCAGTCTATCTCCATATGCATGTTCTTCTCGAACAGGCTGCACTTCGTCAGTCTATTCTCTGCCTGCTCAGTCACGGCGGTCAGTGTATTTTCTGCCTGCTCAGTCAGGGCTATTGCCGTCTTTGCAGTTTCCTCAATCTTGTCCTCCACATCACCAATTCTGGATTCCAAGTTGCTCGAGATGCGGCTAGAAAGCTTGACGGACTTCTCAGTGCCATCCTAGCAGGATGATGCCGCTGAGATAAGCTTGGACACAAGACACTGTTGTGACACTAAACCTCGTCAAAAAATGATTTCCGGAGACCTATATAGGTATCAACACAACAGAACCCCCCTGTCTTGCGCCTGGCGATGGGACAACTCAGAAATGTCCTTCTCCAGCTTCCGCTCAAGAGATTGGATCTCACTCAGCATCTTGTCAAACATTTCACACACCCACGTCCATTTGGGCACATCTTCCTTCGACCCAAACCAACCGTTGGACACGCTCACACCTGCCAAAAATGGATGCGGGCAAATTTCCGCACGCAAAAACTTGGTTTGGAGGGTTTTCGACACATTCTCCCATTCTCCCCATCCTTTCTATGTGTGCACATCAATCTCAAGCTAGGAGTACTACGTGGGGCACGGGTCGGTCTGCAATCCATAAAGAGGTTTGAATGTAAATGTCCAAGGTGCTTTGGTTTCGCTGATGCCAGTTGTGGATGTTTAATTGCTTTTGGTGGTGAATGGATTTCACAGTTTGTCCAATCTAGGATTGCTGTCGAGTGACTTTGCGAACTAGGCGAATTTCATGCCCTGAGGTTGTTGGTCGAATTTTTTGGCGTGCTTTCTCACCCCTTTGCTCCTATGGTTCTCCAGTTTGAACTTGCGCTGTATCTAGGCAAGTTTGAGGTTCCACGGACCTTCAGGGCCCACCATCAGATGTCATCATTCACTTTTTGTTTGATGTTCGTTTCTTGCTGCGGGTACTCAACACACTGAACACATCCATGCACCTTGCTGCGTTTTTGTTGGTTTGTGCCCACAAAACATACTGCTTGAAGCAAAATGCGACACCCGTTCTCTTTGGTTTGCTCGCAATATCGTTTTCCACGGGCAATTCAGTACAAGACCCTGTAATTATTATTCAAAAAATTGTTCATACACTTTGACAGGTTTTGGCCCTCTTTACCAAACACATGTGAGAAACAACTGCTGATGGATCGGAAAATTGCATTTGTCAGGGGCTTGAGCCGCCGTCTTTCCTACCAGTTGTTAATATGTCTTGTTTCCTGCTAGGCAACCATTCTAAAGGGAGGTTACTAAAGTGGATAGCAAGGGCTGTCGTGTGACACACCACGTGTGCCTTGCTTCTTGCAGGCCAGGCACTGTTCTCACCACAGCCAACTGCCCCAATCTCCTGAAAAAACCATGGCAAGAACCGACGCAAAATGCATGATGAATCGGAACGAATTAGGTCATGTTCAAAAGTCCGCCAACGCTACAACGGCGGTGAAGGGGCAGGTGACATAGGGGTGCCAGGCAAAAACAATACATAATACTGGATTTCACTTACTGGATTAACTTATATAATTGATTTAATATTGTTGATTTGGGTGCATTTTTGAACATGCACCTTACTCGCCCCAGCATTGCATTTTCGTGGTATTGCGCGTTTTTAGGGTTTTAGTCACGATCTCTATATTTCCCAGGTTCCACATCAAGAGTGTTTTGCATACAAGCATCTACACCACATGTTTTACAATACACCGTCTGCTGGCCAGAAGAATGTACTCAAGGCAGTGAAACACATTTACGAATGCATGCACCAAGGAATGGATAAATGAAACAATGAATGAATAAAATTGTTTGTATATTGATTTGATACCTGCATAAAACTGAGTTATTGATTTGATGTACGCGTTTAGTTCTTGATTTGATATACGCGTTTGCGGGATGTACATAAGAGTTAGGCAGTAGATCGCAACAATCGCTACCATTTGTATCACGTGTATCCTCCCTGCCCCAGCTCCTGAAATTCTGAATCGTGGGAAATCATTTGGAGTTCTCTGTCTTCTGGAAGGAAACTGGAAATTTCTCCGTCATCTTGGATAGTGGTCTTGCCATTCCAATAGAACTCACGATCGTGACTATCCGGACCTTTCTCCCAATGGACCCAGGACTTGTCATCTCCCGAGAAGATGCGGATGTATTTGTACTGTATTTTCGTGTGGGGCCTCAACGCCACCCGGATCGACCATGTCTCCCCATCATTGGAAGACATTTGCTTGGCATGCTCTGCCTTCCATGATCCCAACTCTTCCACGCCTGTCACCAACACCACACCCAAACACTGCCAAAAGAAATTGACACCTTCGGACAAAGTAAGTGGGAAATCATGCAACTAGATGCAACTAGGAAATCCATCAAGAATGTCCAAACAAAATTGTTCACCTGCATGAACACACCAATGCAAAATACAATGCAGTAAATTTAGGCCAAATGCCAAATATTCTCAGCAAGTGCAACCCAAGCCTCCCACCAAATACAACTGTTCCTTTTCTCTCATGTTATGCACGGTTGCCCGGAATTCAACCATCGGCAGGGGTTTCAGAGCTGAAAATGTGTGTGGGACTTGAACAGTGACTGTGCCAGCCCGGACGATGCGATTAGATGGTTGCGGTTGCTGCGGTTGCGGCGGTTTCCGCGGCGCGGTTGCGAATTGCCGCGACCCGGCGCATGGGAAGACTGGTTGCATTGCCATCTTGCTGAGGCTCTACCACAGAGCCACTCCGACGGACCGATGCTGTACAAATCAGGTTCCTGAAGGACTCTTGATCTCAAAATTGCAAGAATCGCACAACAAACACGCTAGAAAGGTGGATTTGTCAACTTGGCCATCACATTCCCTAAACATTTTTTCCATCATTGTAAAACATGTGAAAACGTTGGTTTTCGGCAAGCACGCGTTTTTTTGATTCTGAAAATGTTTAATTCTAAATCCCCAATTAATAAAAATTAGGGAAACGACTTTGCAACCATTGGAAACTTCAAGAATATCATGTTTTTGTTTGCATACATGTGCACAACCATGTGTTGCAACCATTTTTCCAAAATCTAATTCACCAAAAAAACAATTTCAAGTTGACATCGCGTGGGATGTGCAAAGATAGTTCAACGTATGTTCGCGGCGTGCGTGTGTAGTATTTTGGTTGCATACTTGAACAGCGCCTCATCCATGTGCGCATAGTTTGACTAGATTGAAGGGTTGCCTCACGTCTATTCGCAACCACCCATTTGTGCGGCCGCGTCATTTTTTTATTCGCATCCACGTGTGGGCATCTGCGCCGTTTGTTTTGAAAACAAATGGAAAACTGCGAAGAAGCAGCCGGCAATCACACCTTTTTGCTTGGACCTCAGGGCGTGGACGCATACATGTGGATTTCACATGTAGTGAAGTGAAAATGTAAACGTCTCGATTGAGCACGTGTCATCCTTGTGGGTTGAGTGTTCACAGCAAAGTTTCACACTCCTCCTCAGCATGGTGTAGTTTCAAATCGCCATGCTGCTCACCATTTACCACCGCCAGTTAACGTTGACACGCTTCCAAAACGTCTTTGGCCCTTTGAAAGCATTGAAGGTTGGATCCCAAAAGATCCACTGGCATTTGGTCTTTGCAATTTTGCAAAAGTCCTGCATTGTACCTTGCTATGTAGCTCTTTGGAGTTGTAGCGTGTTGGGTTTCCAAAGTGAGCATTATGGTACTAGCTAAGTAAGGGTAGTCCCTCCCAAAACCCTCCCAATGAACAATGGAAAAGCGCTGCGTCGACCTACGCTCTACAAATCTAGTCACGCCAAAAACCAAAGGTGCAAATCTTAAATCCGAAAGCGCCTCAAACATACAAGCTGATTCAGACATGTGATATTCAGCATGTCACTGCTATGAATAACCTTCCATGTATGCACAACTGACAGGATGCAAGTGGCGTACAATGTTTGCACCCCGCCTTAACTCTAAGCTTTGCTTATGAGTTACATTTCCTAGTTCCTTAGGACTGTTGTTAGTCCGTCTGCTCGCTTCTATTGGAATTTTTCTGAAAAACTTTGGCACTAAAGCCACTGGTGAGAGGTTTGTATCTCACCCTGATGACTTTCTTCAGGTGGTGCACTTTCTGAATTCTAAAACTCTTGCAAGTCTCTTTCACTTTCTTGTCGCTCTTCATGTCCTGGGCCATAGTGGATTGTAGCCCAGTCATTTGGATCTGACACTTCGCACTGTTCACTGTTTCTGTATCGATGTAAACGCTGTGATTGCGTTTCGCTCATGGGTTCATCTGAGTCATCTGGTGGTTCTGGTGTCTTGAAGGCCTCGGCAAAGACTTTGAGCAAGTCTGTTGCGACCTCCAACTTCTCAAGTTCCAGAAGCTTCACCAGACATCAGTGGATGTCCCCATAGCTGTTGATCATCAAATGTTTCTCATCATCTCCCATTCCAGCTGTTGGAGATTCATCATCATCTGAGAGCGTGTTCTCCTCGGCCAGAGATTGGACGATCCTTTTGCGGTCATAGGATCCCGATGTGGGAAGATGGCACAGGCATGTCTCAAGCCACCTTTGGATTTGGCTATAGCGCATGCAGCCACCAATGTTTCCAGCTGCTTGCATCTTTCGAAGCCTTCTGCGGGCTCGGACTAAAGTCCATGTCACAAGCCCTTCAACGCTTGTGCTCTCGTTTGTCACCTGGGGCTCTGCATTGAGATTCAACATGTCAGGCGTATGTGGTGCCTGTACACTGTATCGTTGATCCATGTTGTAGAGCATATACCATGAGTATCCAGCAAGCAACATTGTCCATGTCATCAGAAATGCAAAGATGAACCAAGAACCATCTGCTGATGTCGAAGAGGTGGAAAATGGTGAGCACCCTTGCAACTGCATAGCCATGGTGCTCTGCAGCGTGACCATTGCTGGCAGCCAGTGAGAAAGTGGCGTATCACGAAACGCGACTGGCCAGTGCTCGTCAGAACCTATGGCGTATCACGAAACGCCTCAAGACAATACAAGATGGCCAGGAACCAGATACTCCTCAGGCTTCGCCGATCGTAGATATAGAAATGGAAATCATTGATTGAGTGAACTTGCAGCCAGCTAGCACGGAGTGCATATGACTGCTCTGAGATCACCCGATCAGTGCCGGCTTATGTTGTCGCCATACTCCACAGTTGCGCCAAGAGAAAAGCAGTTGAGTGCCAGGGTGTTACCCCCCAAACTTGTTGGACTTTTAGGGGCTTACCAACTCAATATGACCCCCCCAAGGTAGTGTAAGGGGATTTCTATTGGGGTACTTCACTTGTTTGGTCTTGTCAGGTTTGTGTCCCATGTCCTTCCGTCTCCGGTCATTTGAATCCTGCTTCCGTTGGTGCTGATGCATTGTTAGTGAAGAATGCTTCCAACATCTGTACTTGTATAATGTGTCTCTCACTGCAGTTTTTGCGGCTCTACTAGTTTCTATAGCTAGGTCAGCCATAAGCCACCCAATTCGCACCTCAAGGCGATAGATAAGCTTCAATCTGTATTTTTAAAACTCCACTTGAATTGGCCCTGCAACGAGAACCCCCGACCCCGGGTACCGGGTGTTCGGGGTTTCCCTAGCTCCGCTGATTCATTGGGAACATTTGAACCCTACCGCCTTGATAGTATTTCACAGTCCTAGTTGTACACTGGGAACCTGACACCGGGTACCGGTTGTTCAGGGTTACGCCCACGCCAGAATGATACAGCAGCTCATGACAGCAAATAGGTTCATTTCCTTGGCGACGGATGACCCTGACGACTCGGATACAGACATAGAGCCAATGGTGCCATGCATCACAGAAAAAACCCGCGAGGATGCGTTAGCTGACAGTGACCAATCGATCTACTTCGATGCTCTAGAGGCTGAGGATGACACTCCCTACTTCCTACAAGGAACTGAGCCTCCCCCAAGAGAGGAGTGGGAAATTGCCGCGCCCATTGACTTCTCCGATGTCCAGGGCATCCTGCAAATAAGCCACCAACTGGACGAGCTCTTCCTGTCGGAGAAAGAGATTGAAACCCCACTTGGTATGGATGACATTAAGCAGAAGTGGAAGTGGGCAGACGTAGGCTCCCGTCGAATGCCTCGAGCACCCCTGACATACCCAACAGTAATGGTGGACGAAGGGAATGGAATCCGCCGCCCCGCAGCCAACCAGGTCCATCATAGGACACTCTTCCAGTGGATAGTAGACAACCTCTCATGGGTATCGCAGTATGACACTGTCTATGTCTTTGTGGACAACCGCACGCTGTCAGGAACCAATCCTCCTGACTACTGGCAGCATTTTGCACCATGGATCAAAGGCAGATGTGCAGTCACTGGACCTTATCGAGAAAAAACAACTGCTATCCATATTCCCATCAACGCTAATACAGGTTTGCATCAGGTCCATTATACCTGGGCTGGTGCTGCGGTCCTGGAGGCTCTGTGCTTAGTCTTTCCCACTGTGAACTTTGCACTCACGGACTCTGATTGTGTGCCCACCTCGCTCTTTGAGATAGCCGAACTGGTCAATCTCATGACAGATAAGGCGAGCAGAGCCGAGGCAATGCAGCACTGTACTATGGCCAGTTCCAGCCAATACCCGCCGGCAGTCCTACTCACAACCGAAGCAAAAGCAGAACTCAATGCTGGATTGATTATAGTTACAGGACATGCTCCGACCTGCGCAACAGATGTCGACATGGACCAGGAAACCTCAGATGCTAGCATGCCACCAAGCGATGCCGCCGGCTCCTCTGCGAGTGATGCGCCTGCCCTCAAAGCAAGACGAATAGTCCATCCAGCCAACAGCAGATCGGCGGACGAATGGGTCATCGCACTTTGCAACAGTCGAGCCAATTTCCTAGCCACCACAGCTGTGCAGAAGACCCCGCGGAAGCGATAAGAGGCGGACTAGTTCTTACCCCTTTACTTGGATGTAAGGCCAGAACCCCACTAGACTGGACACATGCCTGGGCAATGCTAGGTGAATGGGCTGGAATCATTGCATTCCCTATCCCTGAGCAAGGAGAATGGCCGCGTCACGGAGATGGTCGCTACTTACGGCCGGATTTTGTCCAGCGAACCCCGCCCTTCCTCACCTGGGCCCGTCCCATCTTCGAACAGGGAGCACTCTCCCCCATGTCTGTCTTCCCGGCCAACTTCCCCATACTCTGCCTCCCGGGGGACAAGCTATTCCAAAGCAAGGAGTTAGATAATGGGTACAGCCTTCCACCCATAGTACATGCCTTCCATGGGAGCAAAGTCGGCCTCGGACAAAAGCTCCAACAGTGGCAAAGTAAAGGGCTGCAACCACTTGCCGTTTCGCTCATAGGGGTTGACGAGGCACCCCCGCTATGGACACACCCCATCATCATCATCATCATCGAGCTCCCAGCGCCGCCATCCGTGGCACCGAGCCACTTGTTTCCCCATGGTACATGTTGCCGAAAAAAAGAAAGGAAAGTGAAGAAGTCGTGATCCGAACTCGTTGTCACATGATTTGTGGTTGCGCTGTCTTGAGAATGTGTTGTGTGGACAAATGGTGGAAATCCCTGTATGCCTCCCATCCAACTGGTGAAACGGATTGGTCTACAGCTGCATTGGAAAGTGTGTATCGTTCCAAAGGGACAACGGTAGTGAGACCTACGTGGGTCCTTTTTCTTTTTTTTTTTTCCTTCTCCTATCGTCTGAAGACGAAATCCGTTAAAAACCGTATTTCTTAAGGTGGGTCCTTTGGGGGCCTCGGCTCCGTGGGTGAAACACGACCCGAAAATAACCGGAGTAGTCACAAAAAATAATTCAAACCAGTGGTAAACCAACCTGTCTGCTGACCCCCCGGGCCGAGGCTCCCCCGCCGTGGTGCTACAGCTATCTCTTTGAAAAAGAAGAAATCAAAACAGTGGCATAACATGGAACTAACTGGGTTAAACCATGTGTCAACTATATATGTTAAGTGCCCTCGAAAAACATGCTGTTTGAACAGAAACAGGGAAGACAACCAGAGGCAAATTTCAAAGAGATAGCACGTGGGTCCCTTATGTCCCAGAAATTACCGTTTAGCTCTCAGGGGCCCCCTCTGGGTGGGGGGTGTCCCTGTTTCCGCGGGGGGGGATGGGCGGGTGCTGGGGGATTGGGGGGTGCTCCCACCGGTCCCAGGTTGCGTGGGCTACGACTACGGTGTTTGCCCTTTCCTCCTTTGCCTCGGCCTTGATGGCCTTTGCCTTTGCCCTGGTTACTTGCCTGTGCCTTACCTTTTCCTTTTCCCTTTTGTGTCTGTAGGACCGGTGGCTTCTTGTTGTCGTAGCTGATGCGTTGTTGCACTTCCATCGTGCGAAGCTTTTCTCCGATTATCGTCGTTAGATAGTATGCCAGTTTTAACGAGCCCTCGACGTTTCGGAATATCAGTAAGTAGTTGTTCTCTCCTTTTTGGAAAATCCCTACCATGTTTCGTTGGGTCAGAAATTCCAAAAAGTCAAGGGCCATGGGTGTTTGCCCCATGATCCACTGGCTGATGCACGCACTCACACCGGCATCCCTACATTCGCGTTCCAGTCGTTCAAAGATTTCGCGGGTACCTGCTGTCATGCGTGGGGCATTCCAGTCAGTCCCCATCACCTCTGCGAAAAAGGCCAGGAGGGGAGGGATCATCTCCTTGACCACATTTTTCAGCTCGTGAGCGGCCTTGAGTCTGTTAAAAATTGGTGTTAGGAACGCGAAATTCCATAACATCACCCTGAGCCCTTGGGCGAGGTGGTGTACATCCTTGGTAAGGCGGATGATTTCTTGGCTGGGAGGCATACTTTTTTTTCCCTTTGTTTTTAGTTTTGGGTTTTTGAGCCAGTCTGCGAGCAGGGGGGATCAACTTTAGTAGTTAGATCTATGTTCGAGTGTAAGATTAAGGTGGATAAGGGAACGGAAGGGGGGGTGCACGATGAGAAACTCAAAAAGAGGGCCGCGTGTATGCATATGCCAGTGTATACTTTCCAGCATCTGCACGCCGTGCTACCGCCATAGAGCGGTCTTGGGGGCGCCAGAGGACGTTAGGTGCCAGAGAACACCTCCCCCGTTGTTGCGCATTGTGCATGTCTGTGGGTGCACGCGTGCACGCGTGCACATGTGCGAAAACAAAGGTGGAGAGGGAAAAAAAAAGAAAAAAAAAAGGGAAAAAGGAAAGTAAGGGAGAGGGGGGGCTGCACGATAAGAGCCTACAGTGAGGGCCGAAAATGTACGAATGCACGTGTGTATCCAGCATCTGCACGCCGTGCTACCGCCAGAGAGCGGTCGTGGGGGCGCCAAAGGACGTAAGGTGTCAGAGAACACCTCCCCCCGTTATTGTGCATTGTGCCTGCCAGTGTGGGTACGCGCGCATACATCTGGAAAAGTTGCGTTTGTGCGCGCTCGCCCAAGTGTGACATGTGTGTAAAGGTGCACTCACGCATTGCGCAGCCGTTGGATGGCGGCTCCGGGGGCGCCAAAGGACGTTAGGTGCCAGAGAACACCTCCCCCATGTTGTATCCATCAGTGTCTGTGTGTGTGTGTCGGTGCGTGCATGTGTGCAGAGGCGGGGGGTAGAGTCGGGAAGGGCGGCAAGAAAAAAACGGAGGTGGACGGTGGGTCGGAAAGCTGAAAGACACAACACTACTCAAAAGGTACCTCGGCGTTTCTGAACTTTCTCGTGACTGATGCGACGTTCCTTGGTCTCCCAAAGCTCGCTGCAGCATCGACAGGTTCGTTGTTCCTCATCAGTTTTGCATTGGGATTGGTGGGTTAAGCGGGCGGTCATGTTGTCCCAGACCTTGTTGCATTTAGTGCATGTGCGATTCAGAAGGTCTGATCCTCGGCATTGTTGTGTGTGTCTGTTGCGCGCATCTTCAATTTTACTGGGGCCTTGCCCCATATGCTTGATCAGCTTCCAATTGCACCGGGGACAGGTCCATTTGACCTTGGATGGAGAAGCGGCTGTTTGTTTGTGACCGCAACCCCCTTGATGAAAAATACGGGATGTGGTGCTCTCGAAGGTTTTGTGACAAAATTTACAACTGAGGTTGGCTTCGGGGGTTCCGTTGCACGTGAGTTCATGAATGTTTCTGAGTTTCCGAGTGGGGCATGGTTCATTGCAAATGCGGCATGGGTGGTGGTTGAGGTCTTGTTCCTGCTGGGGTTGGGGGGGGGCGGTGCAAAATGTTTCATGTTTGGCGTATTTACGCGCATCCCGGAAGATTCTGCCGCACTTACGACACGTTTCTGCGTTTACTTTGGTCAGCGCGTTCTGTTTCGGGGCGGCCCAGCGGCGGGAGTGTGTAGTGATGAGGAATCTGCGTCCCATGTTGGCCAGGTCATCTGCTTTGTCGTTGCCCGGTGTGTTTGAATGCCCTTTGACCCATTTAAGCGAGAGTGGGCGGGACCGGCTGATTTGACGGTAGAGGAGGTGACATTGTTGAGCAAGGTCCTGATTGGCGTGGGGTTCGGTGACTCCGAGAGTGAGGTCCGCGGCGTATTTTGAATCGTAGACTATTTCTGCAGGGACACCAGCTGGGCCCGGGCATTCATCCCTAAGCCACAGTAGGGCCTCAGCGATAGCGCTGAGTTCCCCTGTGTTGTTGCTGGCCTGCTCGGCTCCTAGAAAGCGTTGATCCTCTCTGTCGAGGCAGACAGGGGCGTACAGTTCGCAGAGGCAATGGGCGTCGGCGGGGTCGTCGCCACGGTAGACGGCCACTCCCCAGCCAGCGTTTTGCGGGACGTGGGGGTTGAAAGAGCCATCCGTGTAGAGTTTCCATGCTTGGGGAAGTGGGTCGATGAGGGGGGGTGTAGGGTCTCCAACCGAATAAGTCCGTGTCGTCTGCATCTGGGATAGCGTATAGTATTCTGCATTCATGATTGAGGCGTGCATGGGGTGTGGTGAAGGTTTTGCGGCATTCGCTGCATTGGTAGCTGGAGAAGGTGGTGAGGGCGGGATCCGTGATGGCGTGGGTGAGTCGGTAGTGGTGTTGAAGTGCCTGTAGCGTCGGGAATTGCTCGAGGCATACGGGGCAGGCATTTGCGGGCACTCTGCTCGCCGGGGTATGCCACGTATTCCGGGTTTGACGAAAGCGTAGGTGACGGTGGTCTGGGAGGGGGCGGCCGCTGCGCCAGTGGTTGAGCGTGCGGGCGGCAGCGGGGGTAAGGCGAGGTTGGGGGAATGCGCGTTTGATTAGCTGTTCCCATTTGGTGACGTCCGTGTTTTGTGCTAAGCGAAAGAAGTCCATAGGGTGTATGTTCGCCTCAGTGAGTGTGGTGTGGATCCAGATGAGATGGTTATGAGAGCGAATAGGACTCGAGGTGTTTTGGATCCAAGTTCCAAAAAGGGCCAGTTTAGGGAGTCGGTGAATTTGCATGCGGCAAACGTGGCCGAGCCAACGGAGGGTTTGCCTCATCAGCACGGTGCGGATGGGGGGCCAGAGTGCGGCATTGTGGAGCTGTTCGTTTGTGATGTGAAGTTCGTGTAGGGCCAGTCTGTCGAGTCCGAACACGCGTTGTAGGGCGTAGTTTTGCGCGGTCTGCAGGGCCCCAATTTGAGCCCTCGTCCAGGGGCGGGGGCGGCCGAAGGAGGTGAGAGTAGGCTGGATTACGCTACGCATTACGCGCAAACGGGCCAGGAGTTTAACGCGGCTGGTGTCCCCTCGTCCCCGGTGTGTGCTCGTGGACCATGCCTTTGCGATTTCCTTGGCTCGACGTCGGGCCTGCATGCATCGATGTAGAGTGTCTCGCCATTGAGCGCCGGTGTCGGACAAGATGCCTCCTACATGACGGACGAAGGTGTGGGCCTGGGGGGGGTCCCGGCGTTGGTCAGGAGGGGTGCCTGGTTTGAGGAGAAGAGTTTCGGTTTTTGTGCGGTTGAGTTTCTCGCCCCAATCGGTGAAAGTTTGTTCGAGTAAGCGGTCGGCGGCGGGGAATTCGGCTTCGGTTGCAATGGTGGCGGTGTCATCGGCAAATTCGAGATCTCCGAAGAGGTGAACTTTGCTGTTTGTCTGGGCTTGGTATGCTCTGCGGCGTCGGGTAAGTTTGCCATCAACGAAAATTTTCCATTGTATACCGGGGGTAAGTCCGGCTGCTGTGGCGGATCGTTTGCGTCGTGCGCGAAAGTCGTGTAGAACTGCTTGATGGTAAAGGTTGAAAAGTGGAGGAGAGGACGGACAGCCCTCTTTGAGGCCACGGTCCGCCTCGTAGTTATGAGACAGTACGCCGTCCAGCTTTATATGGAACTGTGTATGATTGTGTAGGGCCTTACAGACCTGCAGGAAGGGTGAGGGGGCTCCTCGCTTTTGTAGAAGGGACCATAGCGCTTCACGATTTATGCGGGGGTACGCTTTCTCGATATCGTACAGGGTTAGTTTCACGTTGTCAGTGCCGCGCGAGCTGCAGATTTCTTCGGCGATACGCCGACTCACTTGCAGTACATCGTCGACCCCCCGATTTCGGCGGAAGCCTTGTTGTTCCTCGTCCATGAAGGATTCAGAGAATTGTTGTATACGACTGGCGACAATTCGGGAAATTAATTTTACACCGATTGAGAGGAGAGTGACTCCTCTCCAATTATTTTTGTTGCTTTTGGGGTGTTTTTGTTTCCAGAGGGGAATTACGGTGGCTTGCATCCAGGAGTCTGGCCAGTGTGCTGTGGCAGTGTCGGGCGGGGCTCTACAAGTGGTGTCCCAAAGGTGTTGGGTGAATGTGAAGAGGTTGTCAAGGACTTGTTGGGGTGCCCATTTAAGCATCTCGACAGTGACACCGTCATCTCCGGGCGCCTTTCCGATTTTCATTTTAGCGAGCGCGCGCGTCAGTTCGGGTGTCGTGGGGGTGTCACTCAGCCATTGTGCGGGGATGGGGTTGGTGGGTACGCTGTCCCAGACGCGGTCGGCCACGGGGACTGCACCGTTTTGTATTTTACTAAAATGATCCTTCCATGATTCAGCTTCTGCAAAAGGGTTACGGCTGACAGTGCGTAGGGAACTGCGGGTGCTATTGGCCTTGCGGACCTTAAGTTTAGAGAAGAGGGAGTAAAGGGCATAGGTATCGCCGCGTGTTTCGGCATCTTCAGCTTGTTGTCCGATTGTGTGCCAATAATCACGTTCCCATTGTGTGAAGAGTCGTCGTTTTACGCGTTTGGCGGTATGGAGTGACTGTTTGGCGATGTGTAGTTGGTGTTGTGCTTCGGGGTTGTGTGGCTGGTCACGTGCAACTTGGGTGCAAACGATGAGGTTGTGTTTGGCAGTGGAGACTTGTGAGTTGAGACGCTTGATCTCAGTTTGGCGTCCCGCGAACCAGGGTTTACCCCCCTGAGCTTCAGTGAATCCGAAGACCTCTGCGGACGTTGTTGTAAGCAAGGATGCGATTTCATCCCATGTTTGGCAGGGGGTGTTGGTTTGGAGTTTGTTGGTGATGGCATGATGATATTGCATACGTAGCGCGATTGCCTGTTGAGATTTACCACGGCCCTTGTACGTTGCGGGGCGGGGGGGTAGTTTACGATGTCCAAAGATGCCTTTTGGCGGGGCCAATTTGATGGTCATCTCCACTGGGTTGTGATCCGTGTAGGGCGTCCATTCTTCTAAGTGCGCTGTCCTGGCAACGTCAGGGGGGATAGTGAGTACCCGATGTGTGTTGCCTATGTGTGTGTGTGTGAAATGAGAAAGTAGTCAATCAAGTGTGAAGTGCCAAAGCGGGGGTGCCTCCAGGTGGCCTTGGTGCGTTGTGGCGTCCATGTGTTGGCGACGGCTAGGCCATGTTCATTGCAGAATTGGCACAGGTGAAGGCCTCGGTTGGTGCGATGACTGGGGCCATGTGGGCCGAGGGCGTTTCCTGTTTCAGGGGATCGGGTACCAACTTCTGCGTTGAAATCCCCCGCGATAAGGAGGGTAAATCGCGGGCGTACTTTGGCGATGAGGGCTTCCAAGTTGGTGTAATAAGTGGTATGATCTTCAGGTGAGGCGTTGCTGCTGGGGGCGTAGGTGATGATGATAGCGAGTCCTAGCCGTTGAAAGCATGGTATGTGGACAAGCATCATCCGGCATTGTTGGCCGTTTCCGTCTGTGTGGATGGGGAGGTTGCTATGCTGCCATGCTTCGGACCAGCGTTCGTTGAGGGCCAGTGCTACGCGACCGCGGCTAAGAATGGTCCAATTGGGTCGGGTCCGGTTGTGGGTGCCCAGGGTGTTGGACGTGCCCAATTTGGTGTCCGTTAGGGCAACTAGTTCCCAGTTTCGAAGGTCCCAAATGTCCATGAGAGCATTTAATTTAAGGTCTTGGTCAATGTAGCCTGTGGTGGCGCCGAGTTGACGTGTGTTCCATGTGCCCATCACAACTAAACGTTTGGATTGTCGTTTAAATTGAGCACGACGTACCCATTTACCCTGACTGATGCGTTTGCGTTTTTGTTCTTGTTTTAATTTTATGCGTGAAACCCGACGGAGAACGGATCTGACAGCGGAAGGTTGATGGTGGCGGAGAGTCATGTTAGGGAGCTGAAGTGTGGAGTGGCGAAGGGGCCAGATGAATGAGGGTGTGTTGGACAGAAATATCCACGACAGCTAGAAGCAACCTGACATGTTCGACAAATTCAATCAAACGGTAGACCATGGATCACGACTTGAGGGGTGCAGCATAGAAACAGTTTTAAAAAAAAAAAGGGAGGTTTGGGCCAAAACGCCAAAGGAAAAAGGAAAAAATGAAACGTTGTTGTGTAAGAAGATGTAACCATGTGGGAAAACAAGTCTAATGGGGCGATGTTAGAGAGATTGATGTGGTATACCCGCCACGTATAGGTGAGATGTCGGTGCCCACCCGCCATCTCCGGACGGTGTCAGAGAGCAAGGGAAGAACGTAAGCCAACGAGTCCCCAAGTTGACATAGTTCCAACGCCCCCGCTACTCGTTTTCGGACCCCGCCCGTTTTGCATCTCCCCCTTGTGCGTGTTGCACAAGCGCCCCTAATAGGGGAGTGGGGTTGGCCCTGTTCGCCCCATACCCAAAAAAGAAGGCATTTGTACAGGTTGATTATCGGGTAAGGTATGAGGACCGTATATGTAGAAAACGGTGAGCGGAGTGGGTAGGAACACTGTGTGTCCGGGGTTTATGCGCGCAGTGTAGGGGTAAGGTGTTAAGACGAAGTTTAAAGACAAAAATCCAGAGACCTCCGTTCGTCGAGTGAATGGACCACCCAAGTTAGCGAACAGGTTTCCAGGGAGCACCACGTGGAGGTTTGATGCTTGCTCAGTCAGTACTTGGTCCCTAGTACTGATCCTCACTGTGTGTCAACCCTGGGTCCAAGTTGACAATTCGTCGAGATCGTTCATGCGTCTGTTTTTTTCCGTGTACGCTGGCACTCAGTGAAAATTCATTTGACTAATAAACAGATGCAAAAGTGACATCAACTGAAGAGGTGACGACTTCACAGTGACCCTGGACACACCCCACAGGCTGCGATTTCGTCAGAGGAAGTAAATTGGTAGCAAGACCACACGTCGTACGACAGCGCAGCCTTACCAAGACGCAAGTATTGCTGCTCCAAAGCCTCTGGACGCCAGTGGAAGTCCCTAATTACAACAACGACCACACACCCTGGCCCCAGACCTGCCAGACCGCCCACGTCCTCTGCGGACAGCAAGCTAGCCTCCAACTGCCCACTGCCCAAATTCTCCCTCTTATTGAGGCACTGCAAAAACGACTGCGAATTGACCCTAGCAATGCAGAACTGGCCATTAACGAAGTTCTTGCCAGCCATGCCGATCCTCAATACACTGATTGGAAGATCATTATCATGGATAACACTATACCTGGCAACTCAATCCCACTGACCCAGGGTCCCTGGATGTTCAGTGCACTGGGTTGGGTGGAGGAGAACTCGACGAAGAGTGGGATGTACTGCTAGCTTGCAGAAAGGAAGCACATGTTTACGGACCATCTCTCAGCAAGCAGGATGATTGGAATGCGAGAGCTGGCACAATTGCAGGAACCGCCCACACACAAGAATACTTGTTACTGCATATAGCCATGTTCCCAATTGGTGCCCACACCTGGTGCCATGTTCTCGGAGTGCCCGACGCCCACCAACTGCAAGCACAGATCATCAGCCGTGCCATGAAACTCCTACGTTTCTGTCCCATTACCCCGGCGCATAGGAAACCACCATGGCCAGGGTACAAGCACGGCCTGCGACTCTTTACCAAACTGCTGGTTGCGCATCCATTGGTCGGAGTGTGCCTGCCCCCCGAAATCCGTTCTGTGGAGTATCTCAAATTACTGTTGCATTGCTGCTTTGCTGATGGTTGCAACTGAAGCTTGCTCTACCAGCCCGCCGTGGGCAATAAAGGGCAACGTACTAGATGCGGCAAAGCCAAAAATGGGCTCGCCAGACGCTCCCATTTTTAATTCTGCCCGCGCCCGTTCCACAGCACGTCTTTATTTCATTTTCAATGCCGGACGAAGCTAAAAACGGCGTCGCGACATCCAAAAAAAGGCAGCGCCAGGCAAGCCCATTTTCAGACACTGTGGAAACACAATAATTGCAAACGGCAAATCCCAACGTCCAAGATGGCAATGGTCCTGAATTCCAGCGTACTTTCTCCGAACTGAGGGGGCCCCCTCCCAAGGGGTCCATTTTCGTAGCACCAATCCACGCCCAGAAACGAACCTGTCGAAAGCTGTAAAACAACAACTGGAAAAGGTTGCGGAGAAGATATGGGTGGACTAGGCACGATAGGAGAGACTGCAGAAATACGCGGCAGGGACATGCGCGGGAAAATTTTCCCACTTTCAAAATACAATGCTGTGCGTGGTGAAATACAATGGCACTACGACAATTCCAATCAGCATGAAACAGACATGACGCGAAGAATGTATTTTTACAACGGCCAAAATTCCTCCGCGCAGATTGTACTGCCCCCTACCGCATGTTTCTGCAGTCTCTCCTCCGCCACAATGACCCTTAAAACAAGCCCTTCCCTGCGTCCCTGCGTGGCCTTAATGCAGCAGCCGCCGGCGCAACCCCCTCTTTGGTGGCATTGCTGCGATCAAAGCAACTGCACACACAATGACATCCCCGACACCCCCCTGTATGGCCTCAATGCAGCAGCCTCCGGCGCAACCCCTCTTTAGCGGCATTGCTCTGCACGATCAAAGCAGCTGCATACACAATGATATCCCCCCGCGTCCCCAGTAAGCAATGTTGTGGAGTGAACATCAAGTTTTGGAGGGGCAGGTTTGGAACACAATGGGGCCGAATCCAACATTGCTAGGTAGGGGTTACAGGGGAAGGCTATAAAGGATAGATACGATAGAATCATCTTTCTGCCAACACATCTTCTTCATCTCAAGGCGCGAAAGAGGATCTATCTCTTCCCAACCATTCACATACGAGACATCAGTAGCAGGTGAAACAGCATGAGCGCCAGACGCATGCAGCTGCACAACCTGCAGCTACGCCGGGGTTGAAGGGAGAACTAACAGAACAAAAGAGCAGAGTCGGTCACGGATGTTTGTCTACATCTGAAAAAGCGTAAATCGAGTCCACCATGTTGTGAACTGAGCAATCAAAAGCAAAACTGAGCAATGAACAAAATTGAGGGCTAGGCGTTGATCTTCGCAACCTGCACCAGAGCAAAACCCGTTCAAAAAATAAGAGATGCACATGCCGACGGCCGACGTGCCGTGCCAAAAATGCAAATGGAATCAATGACAGCTTTCCTCTTCTGCAAGTATAGCATGTGATGATGAAAGACTAGCTAAAGCATCGGAAGGTAAAGGTCGCCAAAAGATGCAACTCCAGACTCGCATGGCTTCACACAAAAAGACGACAGTCGGCGCCTCTGCCCGCAGTCACCACTCTGTAGTCGGCGTGTACCTGGTACTGGGATTGACAGTGATGGCACACTTGGAAAAGTCTTTAGGAAGCTTCAGCACCAGATCAATCCACTGATGAATGGAACCAGGCTGCAAACTGAACAGAAAGGAAAAGGGCCCGCACCACTACAAGGTCATGACTGCTGTCCTGCTCTCCGGTCGAACGCCTCAACCTCGACAAATTTTGTCATTGTTGTGCATGGAAATCTCCAATTCTGCACCCCTGGGGATGTTGCGTGGATTCTGTCATGCGCAACACCTACGCAACACGCACGCAACACGCGTGTTGCGTGACCACGCAACGTTGTATTTTACAGTACTCTGTGCCCGCGGGATGTAAAAAGGTGGAACTTTGTTTAGAAGGCTGGCTGTCCCGAAAATGTGTGGGAGAAGGCGCGAAATATCGTAAATTACAGCGTTGCGCGGCTGCGCAACACGCTATGTTGCGTGGGTGTTGCGTACATGTTGCGTATGACGAAACGCACGCAACGCTGTAAATAGTGGACAATCTTTTAAGGGCTTCAAATTACCAGCAGAATGGCCCAAATGTCTGAACGCCACTAAACTAGTAACTAGTGGCGTGACCACAATCGGACAACACCTTCGCATTCCAACAGTTCCTGCTGCAGCATTCCCGCTTCTAGCAGCGGAAACGGCATGGTTTTCTGGACCCCCTGGGTGGGGCCTCCTCAGTTGCATTGCTGCTTTGCTGATGGTTGCAACTGAAGCTTGCTCTACCAGCCCGCCGTGGGCAATAAAGGGCAACGTACTAGATGCGGCAAAGCCAAAAATGGGCTCGCCAGACGCTCCCATTTTTAATTCTGCCCGCGCCCGTTCCACAGCACGTCTTTATTTCATTTTCAATGCCGGACGAAGCTAAAAACGGCGTCGCGACATCCAAAAAAAGGCAGCGCCAGGCAAGCCCATTTTCAGACACTGTGGAAACACAATAATTGCAAACGGCAAATCCCAACGTCCAAGATGGCAATGGTCCTGAATTCCAGCGTACTTTCTCCGAACAGTAACAGGTTACATGGTAGGCTCCCTCTTCATTCGAGGGCACAGTGCAGGCTCGTATGCAGGAATGGTATGGGAAACCATCCTTGCTGAATTCCCAGACATTGAAGGCAAAACAGTTCTAGCAGCCATTGCTCTGCCGCCATCGCTCCTAACGACACACAGACTGTCCCATCACCGAAAGGTACGCCTCATCCACCATGCAGATGACCGACTGTGTGTGTGGAACCCGTCCAATCAAGACATGAGACTGCTCCAACAACAGGGGTTCACAATCACACACATCACAGGGTGGCGAGTATACCTAGGCACTGCCCAACACAACTACCCGCACTGGACACGAGTTACCCTTCCAGAGGGACGACAGG